CACACACACACACACACACACACACACACACACACACACGAGACCTGAGCTCGATTCCCAGCCAGTGCACCGCATGCACAGCCACGGCCCATCTGTCAGTGCTGTGCTGCAGAAGAGGGTTCAGAGGAGCTTTCCAACTAAGATGGACATGGAAGAAAGACGTGGCAGTTTTCCAGAAGTCAGCCAATGAAAACCCTTGGCTTGCAACAGTGGCATCTTGTTCCGGTGTGAATGGATCCCCGGGAAGTAGGGGCCGACTTTCCAGCAGCAGCAGCAACAGTGGGGCCTGAGAAGCGAGGCCTACTGCATGGCATTTGATGGTTATCCACTCCCCTCTGCTCTCTCTCTCTGCCATAACCGTGTCTCTCTTCCAGTCTCATGTCCCCAGACTGGCCCACCGTGGCCCCACCGGAGACATGACAGCCCCATGTCCAGGAGGCCCACAGTGCTGGGCCCCACTCAGTGTAACCACCCCAGCTTGTGTCTCCCAATTTAGGAGGCACAGGCGAGAGGAAGGAAGCCTGTGTCAGTGCCCACCCTGGGCCCCCTCCACAGAGCTCCCAGGCCACACCCTTCAGGATGGAGTGGCCTGAGGGATGAGTCCGTTCCCAGTGCCAAGTTGACCCAGTGGGGTTCCTACGCACCCAGTCAGTGAGTTCCCACCCATGGCCCCATCGAACTCTAGCAGAGACATTGCCACCTGCCTTCAGGACGCAGGACCAAGCTAGTTCAGGGCCATCTTGCTTTCTCGCCCTTGAGCTCCTTAAGGGACTAGAGCCTGAGAGTCTCATCCCCTCCCTGCCCAGCACATGATGGCGTTAGGTTTCTGAGATGGTTTCTCCTGGTTCTTCTCAAAGAATTCACGAGGCAAAAGCACTCTTAAGAGGGAAAAGGAAGTTTTGGGTAGTACAGTCTCAAATAGTACACACTATCTGTGGAAAGCATGCGAGGCCGCACAAGAGTTCGAAACTGAAGATGCCCCTTCAGGGGAGCGAGAAAAACCATGTGGAAGGAGTACCAGACCAAGAGAGCGACTGCCCTTGGCCTCTGCTTTTTATCCCGTCTTGCCTCTACTTGATGGGACGTGGTGGAGGGTATTGGCCAATGTCAGTAGCTGCCTTCAGGTGCATGTGAGACTGTAAGGTTGCTGGTGTCTGGGATTCGTGCCCAGGTTGACCTTCAACTGGGCCTACGTGACCTTGGTCTGAGCATGCCCGGCTTTGGATTGTCCCCTAGGTGTCTAATGTGTGCCTGATTCCTTTCAAACCCCTTCATTGTGGCACGGCCAGCTCATTTTCGTTTAGGGTAGGCATTCGGTGGAGACAGCCCCCTGTATCCCTAATCTTCCCGCCTGTGAGTGGCAGCTTCTTGTGATGCCTGTTGATACCGAGATGACGAGCCTAGTTGACACGCTGGCGTCAGCAGTGACGGGAGTTGGGGCCGGGCACTGCTGTGGGCTATGTCACCTAATCTCTAGCTATCGCCTCTCTCTCGGAGCCCCACGTGGTCCTTGGACACTGAAGTGGCTCAAAGAAGGGATTCCCATTCTAGAAAAGAAGAGAGGACATGGCCTTCTGTTTCCTTCGTTTCGCGAGTGTTGGGCTCATTTCCTTGTCAGCCCGATGACCCCCGTGGCCCCTTTGTGTCCTGTGATTCCTTGATTAAGGTGCCGATCTCTCTTTAGGATATCAACTTACGAGTGAAGTGGCCCAATGATATTTACTACAGTGACCTCATGAAGCTCGGTGGAGTGCTGGTTAACTCGACGCTTATGGGAGAAACCTTTTTCATACTGATTGGTAAGTGTGAGAAGGTTGGGTGGTTACGTATGTGGCTGGTAACCGGAACTGTCTGTAAGCTAACAGCAGCCCATGCAAGACAGAAACGCAGCCAGCTTCTGCAGAGCCTACTGGCTCTGAAAACCCTTAGAACAGCTATACTCTGTCACAGGGTCACAATGAGCATAGGTTTTTGATGGGTAACTTTTTAAAAGCCTTTCTGTCTGCATTTTTCAGATTAGCCTTTTTTTCCCCCTAACGATGAAAATGGCTCCCAGGTGGCCGTGTTGTGGAAAGGGTCGTGGCGGAATTCTTGCCCTCTACACTGGAGACACAGGGTCCATCTCGGCCAACGCACCTCATTCCGATCCACCACCAGGGGAGGCTTGTGTGTCTCTGTGATGCTGCACACGTGTCAGTGGAGTTAACAGACTAGGAAGAAAGGACTGGTGATCAACTTCTGGACAGCAGTCTGTGAAAGCCCGGTGGATCACCACAGCCCCGCCCCATTGTGCGTGGAGTCCTCTCGAGTTTGGGCGCGGGGCCACGGGAACACATAGCAGCATGGTGTGGGGGCCGGATAATCGTATGAAAGCGGTCTTCTCTGAGTCTTGTAGTTTCAGATCACGGTGTGCGTACCAACAAGGCTTGACCATTTGGGAGTGATTTGGGAGGTTTAGGGTCCTACCACCAAGCATCTGGTATCATACCAGACAAGCATTTTCTGAAACCTTTCCACACTCCAGTGTCTAGGTACATTAAGTATGTACCTAGTATGAATCTAATAAATTTAGTGTACTCTTTTGTCATAACAGTGGGAGCCCAGGTGGTATGGTGGGTTATGCGTTGGTCTGCTCACCACAAGGTCAGCAGTTCAAAACCACCTGCCACTGTGAGGGGAAAAAAGATGAGGCTTTCTACTCCTGTAAAGAGTGCCAGTCTTGGAAACCCAGAGGGGCAGTTCTACCCTGCCTATAAGGCCACCCCAAGAATCACACCTGAGTTTCCCCACTTGGAAGATGGAAACCTACTACTGACCACCACTGCCCCTGCCCCATTAATAAGAACAAGGGCCTTCAAGTCAGGTCAAACTCATGGCCACCCATTTATTAACATTTGGTAAATTAAACTGCATCCAGCGTGGCATTCTGTCCTTCCACATGCTTGTTTGCAGTGATGTTGGGATGGTGAGCAAGTAGAGCCATGGAAGGATGAAAAGAACGATTGCGGTTGCTCTCTGAGTCCCGGGTACATTTGGGGACACCGGAGGAAAAATAAAACATGAACTTTTTCTGGGTGATAGAGGGGAATGTGTGAGATCCGCACGATGTTGCCCAGTGTGTCTCTTAGCTATGTCTGCTTCTGCCCAGGTTGTGGCGTGAATGTGACCAATAGTAACCCCACCATCTGCATCAATGATCTCATCATGGATCACAACAAGCAACACGGGACAGACCTGAAGCCGCTGAGAACTGACCTTCTTGTCGCCAGAGCCGTAACCCAGATGGAGAAGCTGATCAACACCTTTCAGGACAGAGGGCCCAACGGCGTGCTTCCCCTGTATTATAAATACTGGGTGCACAGGTTAGTGGTCTCTTGTCTTCAGCCTTTTAACATCCCTTTTTCCGTCAGTAGCTTGGTGCGTTAGATTGGGTCCACCAGAGACAAAACCAGTGACGCGTGTTTGTGTTTTATGTACATAGGAAGAGATTTACATCAAGAAATGGCTGGCACGGTTGTAGACATAGGTGAGTCCAGTCAGGGTAGTTCACTGGCCACTCCTGGGCTTGGCAGGCAACACAACAGGAGATCCAGGAACCTTATCAGGATGTCGAAGCACAGGCAGCAAGGGAGCACAGGCTAGGGGATGCAGAGGTTTGAGGTCGGCCAATTAAATCAGCCAGTGACCCGGGAGATTGAGGGACCAGATGCAAGATCCAGCTCCAGCAGAAGGCAGAGGGACAAAGAGGGCGTGACTCTCCTGGGTCTCTGCCTCTTATACAATAAGGCTGATAGTGCCAAGGGGAAGTAGTCAGACTGTGACACAATTAAGAGGTTGAGCTCCACCCCTACCTCTACCCAACAGTGTCTAATTAACATAATCCCTAACCATCACACTCAGTATCTTCCAATGAGATGGTAAGCACCAGTCTGAATAACTCATTTATACCTTTATAGTGAAGATTCCCGGGTAGCACACATGGTGTGTTTGAGGCTATTTACCAACCCAAAGTCTGCCAGAGGAGCCACGGAGGAGATGTCTGGCGATCTGTGTCCATAAAGATTACAGCCATGAAAACCCAGTGGAGCAGTTTTTACACATGGGGTCAGCGAATTGGCATTGACTCAACATCAAGTTGTGTTTGGGCGTTGATAATGAGGACACTGGGGAGACGCTACTTCAACCAAGTTTGTGTCTCCAGAACGTCAGGTAGCTAGCGTCCAGGGCTCCAATTGTGGTGCAATGGGAAAGACCCAGCCCCCCACCCCAGAAGTTTTCCTTCCTCACTTTTAAAATCAGAATCAAACTGTGAAGAAGCAATCAGAAGCATCCTAACTGTGGGGCACTCTAGGTACAGCCAGAACGCTCTTTAGAAGCAAGGCTGATGAGACTTCATCTCACATACTGTTGTCAGAAGAGACCAGTCCTGGGAGAAGGTCATCATGCTCGGTGAGGTGGAGGTACAGCGAAGCAGAGGAAGGCCCTGGATGAGATGGATTGCCACAGAGGCTGCAGCGATGGGCTCGCACCTAACAATTGTGAGAAGGGCCCAGGACTGGGCATGTTTCCTTCTCCTGTCCGTGGGTCGAGAATGAGTGGAAACCAACTCTAGGGCAGCCAACAACCAGGTTAATGATGGCTCTCAAGATACCGTATGTCCCCTAGTAGCCGTGCAGCAGGCTCGCCTGGGAACTTGCTAAAACAAACTCACCGTTGAGTTGATTCCTACTCACAGTGACCCTCCAGGACGGGGAAGAACTGCCCCTTGGGTTTCCAAGAATGTAACTCTTTTCTTTTTAATCATTTTACTGGGGATTCTTATAGCTCTTCTTTTTTCTTTAATCGTTTTATTAGGGGCTCATACAACTCTTATCACGATCCATACACACATCAGTTGTGTAAAGCACATTTGTACATTCATTGCCCTCATCATTCTCAAGACATTTCCTCTCCACTTAAGCCCCTGGCATCAGGGCCTCATTTTCCCCCCTCCCTCCCCACTCTCCCCTCCCTCATGAACACTTGATAGTTTATAAATTACTATTTTGTCATATTTTGCCCTGTAACTCTTTACAAGAGTAGACAGCCTCATCGTTCTCCCTCAGAGCAGCTGGTGTGTTTGAACTGCTGACCTCGCAGTTAGCAGCCCAGCTCATAACCCACTATGCCACCAGGGTGCCTATACATTTAAAAAGACTATTTGTAGAGTGTTGCAGCACTTAGCACAGTGGTTCTCAACCTTCCTAATGCTGCGACCCTTTAATACAGTTCCTCATGTTGTGGTGAACCCCCCACTATTAAGTTATTTTCATTGCTACTTCATAACTGTCATTTTGCTACTGTTATGAATCGGGTGACCCCTGTGAAAGGGGTCATGACCTCCAGAGGGGTCATGACCCACAGGTTGAGAACCGCTGATTAGCATGATGAGTGGCACAGAATAGGCATCCAAACAGCCCAACAAGTAACCACCACATCACTGGGGCCCCTCAGGGAACTTGTTAGAGAGGCAAATTCTATAAGACTCCTCATCCCTACTAAGTGACACTTGCCCCAGAGGCACCTGGGAAGAGAGGCCCGAGCTTCTACTTCTGAAAGGTGACAGCCCTGAAACAGCCCTCCGGAGCAGTGCTGCTCTGCACACATGGCGTTGCCTGGATCAGAACCGACTCGGTGGCAGCTAGCAACTGGCTGAAAGAGAGACTCAGAAACTCAGAGCCTGGGGCCCAGCAGTCTCTGCTTTAACAGATGCTCCTTAGGGAGTCCGAGGATCACTCCGGTGCAACTCCAGCCCTCCACCCCAGAAGCTGCCAGTGCATCAGCCAGATTCAAGACGGTGAAGGAGGCCTGGCAGTGAAATGTGGTGCTTCACCCATAATGAGGTCCTGGATGGGCGCTGGCGAGAGCCATAGAAAACATGAAGGAGGCAATTGGGGGAATTTGAACAAGGATGATAGATTAGATCATATTATTGTAAGAAGGTTGCATTTCTTCAGGTTGATCATGGTGCCTTAGTTTTATAATTGAATGTACTTGTTCTCAATACTACATGCTGCAGTATTTCGGGATAGACTGTCATGATTGCCTTAACTTATTTTCAGAGGGCCAAGGGGGTTCCAGTATGTGGGTAGCAAGAGAGAAATTGGAGATGGGAATGCTTGGTAAGTGACTGTAGGTGAAGGGAATATACGATGCTGCTCTTCTTTCACTTTTTCTCTAGTTTTGAAAATTTTCACACGCACGGAAAATATCTGGGTTGGGTGTGGGAAGGATGGCTGGCTGGACCAGTCCATGTAAAGATCTCAATAAGAAGTGATTTTAACAGGCACATTTGGAGACTGTTCCACAGGTACAGTCCTATTATGAGTTGAACTTGCAGTTGACAAGACCCAGCTTTATGAGAGGACAGGTCACCGTCACCCCATCAAGAGAAGCCACTCATATAACTCCTTAGTGGGGTTCCATGCCTGCCTTCACTTTGCCAGTGTGTAGCTCCGAACAGGCCTGCTTTCACAGGACCAGCCTCAGCCTGCCCCTGGGCACCCCCAGAGCCCTTTTCTGTATGAGTAATCCCAAAGCTACTCGTGTTACACCGAGATCTCTGCCTTCCGTTTCCGGTGACCGCCCGCCGCCGTTCTTCTTTTCCAGTGGTCAGCAAGTCCGTCTGGGCAGCGAGGAGGGACCAGTGGTGTCCATAGTCGGCCTTGATGATTCTGGGTTCCTCCAGGTCCATCGGGCAGGTGGCGAGGTTGTGACTGTGCATCCCGACGGCAACTCCTTCGACATGCTGAAGAACCTCATCCTCCCGAAGCAGCACTAGGCTCGGCGGGGTGGGTACCACCGAGACCACCACCCACATTCCAGTCCAACTCAGGCTGCCATTGGCACACAGCCCGGCAAGCTGAAAACACGGTCTGAGAGCTGTAGGTGATTCTGCCCCCTTCCCCCCCTCTGGTTTGTCAGCCCTCGATGTTTTTGTTTCCCCCTCGTTTTTTGTTGAAGGTCGATGTTGTTGTCATTTTATATGGCTGTGGAAGGGACCGGTGGTGGAGGATTGACAAGTGGAAGACAGAGGGTAGGTGGACCCCCTACCATGGTGGGTGTGAAAATGTCTCCCACCAGCCCTCGGGCTCGAATCCTGTGTGGAACCCATTCGCAATCGTGGTAACCCTGTTGTGTAGGATAGACCTCCTCCTTAGGGTTGTCTTGGCTGTCATCCTCAAGGAAGCAGGTCTCCAGGCCTTTCTTCCACAGCACCAGTGTGGGAGTCCGAACCACCCCACAGACTCCTGTGGATTGTCCACCCACCATGAGAGCGAGGGAGAGAGATCTTCCTTGGAAATGGCCTTGAAATCATTCGCATGGAGATACTGGAGACCTTATCTCTTGGACGGACTGCTTAAAAATAAAATTAAATTCACAGTCCCTCTCCAGCCAGGTCAGTGGTGAGTTCAACACCTGGTGGCTTTGTAAGGACTCAGGGAGGCATTTTCCTACCAGAGCCTGTGTTCCCTCAGCCAGGGTGTTCCTTTTCCTGTGAAGGGAGAAGGTGGACGGACCGGGCGCCTGGGCGACTCTGTCTGGTGGTCCTCTGGCCCCATGCCTGTAAATGGCTGGGACGTTGCGTCTCACTGGGCGGGACTCAGTGGCACTGCAGAGGAAGTCAGCAACATTAGTTCCCGAGCTCGCCTTCCAGAAGTTTAAATTTGCTGCCTCCCCTGAAGAGATGGGCTCAAGTTCAAGATCCTGGACGCACAGATGAGGGCCCCCCACCCCCACCCTTGGATGTGAGGGGCAGATGATGTGGCTCCAACAGCTGGAGATGAAGGCTGGCGCTCATACCACACACAAGGGAGGATTTGGCGGTTCTAAGCCATTTTCAGGCTGGCTTTGAAATGTAGCACGTTCTACATGACCATGTGCAAGAAAGCGGCACAGAATCCCCAAGTACAGGCGCGCCCCCCACCCCATGTTGCCAAGGAAGAAAATTACATTGATACTTCATAGCATCAGTTAAGAGTGTGTGTGTGTCTTTAAATGTCGGTGGAAATCTGATGCACTGGGTCTCCACAGAAGAACAAAAGAAAGGAAACCTTTTGATACACACTTGCGCTCTCCAGATGCGCGCCATGCTTTTTCCATGTCGTTTCTATCTCTGTTCCCTGGAAGAATCACGCTCACTACTCTGCAGTCTTAAAAGGCCAATTTCTGCCCACTTTTCCCTCTTCCTGCCAACCTGGCTGAAATCGGTGGAAAGAAATCTTTGAACAGAATCCCCTCATTGTAAACCACCCCATCCTTAACCCAGGGCCCTCCCCAGCCAGGTTCATTCCAGAAACCTGGGGTTCCAGGATAGAACCCGTCTACTTTAGCCAAGCACAGGCAGCCCCACAGGAAGAGAAAAATGAACCATATCGAGTTAAGTACACTCACCCAATGTGTGTTTTTTTGGAAAGGTCGCCTGAAAAGAATTCTTAATTTTTTGCAAAGAAGAAAGTATCCGCCCGAGTTATTTTTCCCCAAGCCCCTTCCCCCCGTGGTACCCCCACCAAGTTGTTTTCTTCTTTTCTTTTGAAATCATCCACTCCCAAATGCCCACGCCGTCTTTCGGAATCCGTGGCAAGTTTACATCAGCATCCACACCACACCACAGAGACAAGAGGGACCCAGGCCCGAGAGCGGCGGTCTGCAGAGGATCCCTGAGGAGAGGGCTCTCCACGCTGAAGTTGCCAGCTGCCTTCTCAGACTTCAGCACTGAAGGCAAGTCATCTCCTGGTAGCCGCCATCATTGCTCTTCAAGTCTCTTTAATGAGAAGCATGGTGTGTTTTGTTTTAAGCTGAAAGCCTCTTCTGCAAAGTTCTGCCTTAGAAAAAACTGTTATCATTTCCTTTCCTTTATGTAAATGAAAACTAATGAAGTGCGGACATGGCAAAGCCGAGGGCAGGCCGCTCTGCCTCCGCCCGTGCCTTGTAGCAGGCAGCTCTGACGGTACGCAACACCCAGCTGTCTGGAGGGGACAAAATCGACGTGAAGCAGATGATGCTCTCTTGAGAAACTGGCTTTTGTCTCATAGGAACCAAAGACTCTTTCAAACTCCTGGTTCAGAAAGAGCAGGGAATGAAAGGCATTTTGCTCCTAGCTGTCAGAGAGAAGCCTCAGATGCCCACCTGTGACCCCACACCCACTGGAAGGTGGCTGCAGGGTCCATGCACCCACCGGTCTCGAGAAGCTTGACTGTCTTAGAGATGTCTCTCCCCCTCCCCCACGATCTGTACACGTCAGCCAATCAACTCAGGATCCCTGTGTGCTTCCGGAACATGGGATTCTCCCCATGTGGATGTGCGACGATGCCTTCAGAATTGTGTGAAAGGCTAGATATTCCCCCGTGAGGGTCCCTGGGGAAGCGCCCCCTAACATAGGGCGTCGCAATTGATGTGCTTCCCATGGCCTCGCAGGAGCTTCCTTTGCCCCTGGAGCCTGGCGGCGTCCCTGAGCCGTCAAAGTGGGAAGGGTGTGTGTTCTGTGGAAGACAGTCGGTTGGTTTCTCTGGGGCACAGTGTTTCTTTTGAGAGGCCCAACCTAGGGCTGGATGAGGCCGAGTCCACAGGCCCAGGGCGATGGGGGAAAGTCCCCCGCTGCCCTGAAGGCCTGCTTCTGCCATCCCACCCAACTCCCCAATCACACACACACATGCATGTGCACACAGCAGCCAGCATGGCCTCCCCACCCCGGAGCCTGGGGACCAGAAGAGGCTGGCTGCCCCCGGACTGAAACGGGGGAGACGTGTTAGCCTTACACCCTGCCACAGGGTCACTCTCAAAAGGCGGAGAAGCTGAGAAACCTTGTTCCTGAGTCACTGCTATGCATCTTCGAAGTCAACGGTGTCAGCCTCTGCATTTCTGACTGTCCAGAGACGCCGCTCTGGAAAGCAATGACTTTTAACCAATGCCTATAACAAGCACGTCTACCAAAATAAATGCTCAGGCTTCCTGTAGGGTTTGTGCTCGTTCCTAGTCCATTCACAAGATGCGTTGTTTTTTTTAAGAAAAAAGGTCACTGCTTTCTGGGTATAGCATTTTTATTACTATTTAGACATTTTTTACAAAATAAATAACAGGGTTTACATAGTAAGGAACATGTATGTATGTCTAAATTTTAAGAAGCTGGGGTGGGTTTGAGGGAGTAGGGTGTATTTTTGACAAATAAATTGTGCATCATACAAAAAAAAAGTCTTAAGATTCCAAAGAGAACGTTAACAAGCCGTAAAATGTAAAAGAAAAAGAAGAAAAATGCCTTTTAACTGGAGCGAGAAATAAATTTACTATCAGAACACCTATATTTCGTTCTTTTAGGGTTTTTTCACTTTTTGTGTGAAAATTGCTTCACTTGCGTCCCAGCGGTTTCTTCCTCAAGATTTTATCCTTGGAGCGTGCTAGAGTTTAGGAGCAGCTTGAATAATGCGTGTGACATCACCCGTTTACTACAGCGCTACTATAATTGTATGGTGTTTGCTTGAAAATTAACCACTCCATTTTCTATGGCAGCCACCAGCAGTCTTCTGTACGTGCCCGACGGCGCCAGTAGATCTGCACCTGGGTTTGACTTGTTAGGGGACCCTTTCAACTTATTCTACCTCTCCCACCCCTTCTGGTCGAAAGAGAAGGCGGCCCGGCAGGCAGGACTATAAAATGGCAAAAGGGAGGAGAGTGAGGGGGCAGAAAAGACTGGGTCTTGCAGATGCCCTCAGGATAGCCTGTCTTCATCCCCAGTTCCCTTTGCCACAAAGCTATGGATGGAATGGCTCCTTCCAGAAAGGGACTTCCATGAACATAAAAGAATTCCTTTTCCCTGAATCGGGCTTACTTCTCACCTCCATCTGAGCTGGCCTTTTTGTCAACATTGTACATGTTAGGGCCAGAACTGATGTTCCCCCCTCACTCTTTTTGTGAGAGAGGCGCCTATTTATTAAAATGCTTCCTCTTTCTCCCACTCAGAGCCCTACAGAAGTCAGAAACAATATTCCGGAGCTGAAGCGTGCAGAATCTCAGAAATGGAGGTGACAGTATTGGGTTACCATAGTCACTGCCTGTTAAAATGGCATTGAGCCCTTGGCTCCAGTAGGAATCTTCCTTTGCGCCTAGGCCATGAAACCCGGACAAGGGTTTCCACAGGTACCTTTTCCGTAGCCCGAGTTGCATGCTGCAAGCACATCAGCACTCTTGAAGCTCCTTGCCATGAGTGTGCCCACGTCTGGAACAGTCTCTTGAACCTGAATGCCAATCTGCCTCATGATTTGTATCGACGAAGCACCGCCCCCCAAAAGTTAAAAGCGAGGTAGACACGAGAGCATTTTGTGGGACTTTATTGAAAAACGTCAGATGCTTCGCCTACAGATCACCGGTCAGAGGCTGGCACCTTTGGGGATCTTGGTTTCATGGGAGACTCAGGAGGATAAAAATAATGCACCCGGCTCGTCCCCCAGCGGAGGCGCGAGCTCACAGGGGACCGCGAGGGGGTGGAGCTCAGTGCGAGGCGGCTGGGAGACCCAGTGCCTTCACGGCATGACTGGAACCCTGCCCCCCCTGTCGCTGTGAAGTCGATTCTCACTGTTGATGACCCCGTATGTTGCTGGACACCACTCCACAGCATCTGCCTGCCCTCCTGACGGACTCATCTGCCCAGGTGCTGACGTTTGACCCTTGTGCCTATGTTTGCAAATTTCAGCTCCCCGGACAAGCTGACACAGTCAGGGCCTGGATGGGAATGGTGAGGTGCAGGGCGAACTATTGGCATTTTGAAAGCAGTTGATAGCAAGGTACTTGAATTCTAGGAAGATGAGTGAAAGACATTGTGTAAACCATGTCTGGAAAGGAAAAAATTATATGTGGAAAATGTTACCTTTATAGTGTGTTCCAATGTATTGATCCTGTTCACAGCCAAGAGATGATTTGAAAATGGTGAATTCTTTAGACCAAAAAAAAAAAATGAGTACTCAAACATAACTAAAACTGGGCACAGACAACAGAAGATAAGCCAAGTAACTGAAGCCTCTTGAAAATTAAATACTTATGCTCATCAGAAAAGACTACCCGAAGAATCGAAAGAGAGCCTACAGACTAAGGAGCGGGACGAAGGTGGGAATTGGCAACACATCTGGCAAGGGTCTGATCTCAAATATATAGAAAGCGTCAACCGTGCTACAATGGAAAGACGATCCAATCAGGAAAATAGAGGACATAAACAGGTGCCTTGCGGACACTGGAAGAGGTGCGAATCCAAACGACAATGAAATACTGCTTCATCCTGACAGCAATGCATTACTCAAGGGAACAGAAATTAAGAAATGATGGTGAGGTTGTGAAGAGATTAGGAGAACATAAAATGCCATTGAGTTGATTCTACAGGAGAGAATACAAATGCCCAGTGGGTTTCCAAGACCAACTCCTTATGGGAATAGAAAGTCTCATCTTTCTCCCTCAGAGCAGCTGGTGGTTTCAAACTGCTGACCTTGTGGCTGGCAGCCCAATGCATAACCTATTACTAGACCTCCTGCTGATGAGAATGAAAAAATGGTGTAACCACTATGGGAAATGAATATGGCGCTTCCTTTAAAAGCTAGAAATAGACCTTATGATCGATGAGTCCACTTCTAGGTGTGTGTCCAGGGAAATATGATTGGTAATGTTAGTGGGCATATGTATACCCATAGATCCTGCGGCATTACTCATAGTAAAAAGAACCTGCGTGGGTGAATAGGTAAACAAAATGTATATACATTCGATGGAATACTGCCAACGATGAAGCGTCTACAATGAATCTGCATGACATTAAACGGAGTGAAATAAGTCAGTCACAAAGAAGGCAAATATTGTATGATACCACTTTCATAAAAAATCAAGAATGGGTTTACCCAGAGAAAGCAGCATTCTTTGGTTACTCGTGATGCAAGGGGGCAGGGATCACTAGATAGCTGATGTGGAGATCCTGGTGAGGGGCAAGGCCATGCACAACACGGACATCAGCAACTGGCCAAAATAAAGGAGGACACTGATAGGTAGACAAAAAAAACGGACAACCCAAGTGGCCATCTAGCTGAGAAGCAACAAAGCCCACATGGAAGAAGCACACCAGCCTGTGTGATCATGAGGTGTCCGTGGGATCAGGTTTCAGGCATCAAGATCCAGAACAAAATCATACCCAATGTGAAGGCAGGTGGTGCCTGGAGACCCGAAGTCCATCTGTAGATAATTGGAACATCCCTTCACCTAAGGGTCACAAGGAAGAGACGAGCCATCCAGGGTGCGGTATAGCACCGATGAAACATACTTTCCTATAGTTCTTGTGCTTCCTTCCCCTACTGTCATGACCTCAGTTCTACCTTACAAAACAGATTAGACCAGAACATACACACTGCTACAGATAAGAGCCCGAAACACAGGGAATCCAGGATAGATAAAAAAGCGCCAACAATGACAATAGCTATACCAGGAGGATTAGGGGAAGGTGGTGGGAGAACGGGGAACCAATCACAAGGATCAACCTAGAACGCCCTCCTAGGGGGATGAACAACAGAAAAGTGGGTGAAGGGCGACAGAGGATGGTGTAAGATATGAAAATAACTATAACTTATCAAGGGCTCATAGGGGAGGACAGGCAGAAAGGGAAGGGGAAAAATGAGCTGATATCAAGGGCTCAAGTAGAAAGAAAATGCTTTGAAAATGATGGCAGCATATGTACAAATGTGCTTGACCCAGTGGATGAATGTATGGGTTGTGATAAGAGCTGTAAGAGCCCCCAATAAAAGTATTTAATAAAAAGAATAATGGACAACCATGGTGAAAGCAAGGAACTATCACAACTGCAGCAACAGAACGGAAAGGTTGTGAGTGGTTACACAGGGTTGATACATAGGCTCTCTAGGTGTGGAAGGACCTG